GAGACTTATATTGTAAAAAAACAATGCTACTCACTGTTTGCCAATACTATTTTAGTAGTGTAATTTTTAAAGGTGAAACGCACCGGCATGTAATCAATAGGGTTTTCAAAGGCATTGCCTATTATCCTCACCAAATAAACAGAAAACTAAAATTGAAATAAATATTAATTGCATTTTCGGGAAAACTCAATGCTCTTAGTTCCCGAGCATTTGTGTCAAGGAAAACCATCTATTTTTCCTTGGTAATAGAATTCAGCACCCTTAAACTATCCGACGACCCATTCAATTTTTTTGGCCGTTTCCCTTCATATTAAAGCATAAAACCCAAACCGCACATGGCCATGCTTATGGCTTATTACTATTTTCTATATTGCAAATTCATGACGGTTAGTTCTCTATTTCCCGTTCACCTGCACCACCTTTGTATACCGAGCAGACGCGGCTTTTAGGCCTGGCAATGTGAAGTACATAGCCTCCAGTCCTTTGCGTCATAGAGTAATTCGAGTAAACAGCTATCCCTCATGATATAAAGGAGTCCCATCATTCATATTGCCGACAGAATGGAGTGGAAGATTTGCCTGCATGGGCTGGCCAAATGTACCCAAATAGTTAAGAGAATTCAGTTTAACAAAGCAGGCTTGCTTATAAAATAAACCTTCACCCAACCGCCAGAAGGTCTGATTTGATTTATCATATTCAGAAGACCTTTACCGGCTGCTCCCTCGTAGCGTCAGGATTTGGTGTAAGTGGACATCAACATCCGGTTACAGATGTGGTTGTGCAGAAGGTTAATATATTTTACGTACCACTCATCTTCAAATTCAACCGCTTAAATACTTCACCCTGCATCCGAATATAATCGACTTGCCACGTTATCATTTAAGTTAAAAATGCCTTAGTTCTCCCAATTGGATTATATGCACAATACGTGGCTGCGCGGCAGCATGTGGAGTAGGATATGCACTTTATTCAATTATACGCGGCGTCACCCTCTGGTAGCTTAAAACTG